GGATAATAATGTACGAACATATAGTGAAGACAGTAATCTTCGCATCCTTGATAGTTGCAAAAATTTGAACGATAAGAGTTGTTCAAATGTTGTTCCGGGGTTGCACTTATTGGAATCATGAAGATCGAGGAGGATTTGACGAGGACAAGAAGCGTTGCGAGTTATGACGGTTTAACCGTTGGAGCAACCTCGGTTGTTCATTGGGTCACTGCAAAATTGTCCCCGTAGACGCAACAAGACGGTCACTTTTTTCAGCCTCCTAAAATTTTGTCATGTTTTGTGGTGAGTGTTGTCATGTCATTGGCCATGACTGCATTTTGTCAGTGAGAAGGTCATTCAAGAAGACGAGTGATTTTTTTATAACAATTTATTATGAATACGCAGTTTTTTCCATAGAGATTTACGCAGTATTAGTTAGGTGCATTATAACCGTCATGAGATGAGGCGGCCACATCTTTGTTTATTTTTGTTGCTATGTTTGTTAATCTTGTTCGCCTTAGTAGTGCAGCGCAACTCAAAAGTTATTCGCCATCTCAATCCATAATACTCTGTTGCAGAATTACACTTCAAATTTGAACAAAAAAATTGAAAATTTTTAACTATGAAAAAGAAACATGGAGTTTTTGTAGAATTTGTAATCGACGAATCGGTTAATTGCTTGAGTATTCACACAGAAAACACTATACTTAAAATACGTGACTTAAAAAGTAATTTACAGGATTTACGATCACGTACATTACGGTATTGGAAACGTAAATTACGGCCAGAAAGTCGTAAATTAAGGCTTTTATACTGTAAATTACGATTGTTATGTCGTAAAGTAGGAAGTCGATCCCATAAATTACGATTTCGAATTCGTGAATTACAAAATTTGACCTCGTGAATTACGGGTTTTAGGTCGTAAAATATGTGGTCAAGTACGTAATTCACGGAGTCGAATCTTGTAATTCACGAGATGGATCCCCGTAATTTAAAATTTTGGAACCAGAATTAGGGTCGACCACATAATTCACGACATAATAATCGTAATTTACGGTACAAAAGCCGTAATTTACAGGTTACGGAAGAGGCAAGTAATTATTAAAGAATTTTTCTCTCCGCGTATAGTACTTTGTGTGTGTTTTCATCACAATGTTTAAAAATTCAAGCACTAATTCTTCTGAATTTTCAATCCATTGAACAACCAATAGTATTATATATTGCATTTTCATGGTGAGTACTCGGAAAGAGATATTCAATAGAAATTACATATTTTTTTCATAGATGCGGAGCGAAATGTGTAGAAGGAAAATTCTACGGAACTGTTATCGTCGTTTTTCGGAGTTGCCTTAAATTGTTTGCGAATTTTTTAGGATAAATACCATAATATCGGGACGTAAATTTCCTTAGTCACTTCCGTAACCGGTGAAAGCATTTTTATGGAAGTAATTTTTATGGAATATGGGAAAATTCAAGCCGTCATTGAAATGTCACTTATAATTCAATATGAAAAACATAATTGTCCGGAATTATCAGGATTTACTGAACGTTTTTAATAGAAATTCAATTCCAGTTGATAAATATTGAAATTTCAAGAGATTTTCAAGAGTGCTCCGTTTCTCGAAGATGGTAAAATAAAAGAAACCAGTCGTTTTCATTAATTTACTTCTTTTACCATTTCAATAATCGGGAATGTTCTCCTTGCAGGATGGATGTGCGGTAGCCCTAATTTTATCGAGTCATTAAATGAGAATATTGGATATTCAATATCTCCTCATTCAGAATCATTTTTTTATTTAGTTAATCCCAAGAAACTCAAGCCGTTCCCATTGACATATACAGTTTCTTTTTGTTCCAAAACTTCGGAGCCGAGCTGCTATCATTTTCATGAAGCGCGTATTATCCAGTAATGTATCCTTTCAGAGCAAGTAAAGTGAAAATTATAAAAGAAGAAAAAAACAAGAAGCAGAGAAAATTATTCCACATTTCTCGGAATACGGACTACACAATATGCTCAACCATTCAAAACGGTACAGTTCATATATGTACAAGAAAATGTACAAGAACCAGCTGCACCGTGTGAGAATAATGGACCGAGGTGGAGTATAACATGAAGCGGCGCAGCTTGCCGAAGAGTTTTATAAAGAACTTGGAGCCCTGAGACCATCCCGTCGTGATACGGAACAATAAACCTCAACGGGACTGCTCGTATACCTGTTCGGATTAGTAAACATAGGGGATTGAAAAGCGATTGATATTGTTCATCTCTGAAAAGTGGCATGAATTGAAAACAGGGTTTGAGAACACGTTCTTCGTTCGTTTTCGTACTTTGCCCGAAGAACGTAACCAAAAAAGAACGTTCTCACAAAGGACGAAATTAAGAAAAAAATTATTGGAAACATTCCCGCAAAGAACTAAATTGAGAAGGAAATTGTGAGAACGTTCCTGCAAGAACGAAATTCAAAAACTAAAATCCTGACAATGCTCTTCTTAAAAGAACAAAGTGGAAGAATATTGAAGAACGTTCCCAAAAAGAACGGCTCGGAGCGAAATGGGATGAAATTCGGCAATATCGTACCGAAAAATTACCTGGAAAAAATTGAACCTATGAGTGAATTTGAATTTGAATTTTTGATTTGTAACTAAATTAATTTATTGAAATCCTGTTTCTTTCCCTGAGTCCTGGAGAAAGAGGTTGATAGAGGTCAATAGCTTCGATAGACAAAAAAATTACTAAATATTGTGATGTTAATAGACCTGACTTGACATGCATTTTCAAACTTCTCATTTTTGTATTTTCCGCTCTCGATGCCAAATTAAAATGCACAAATTTCTCACAATCAAAAAGATTATCGGCATTCTTAGATCTCCAATTGACGATGAAGTTTTTCTCTCTCACGTTCACGAGCATCCCACTTTTATTTCCACCGATGAATGCTGAATCTAAACCATCATCTTTTAATTCCATTTTCCGGACGCATTTCAATCACGTGCATGCGCAATCTTCCGATGTTACCCCCACCACACGAGTAGACGACAACCCTTGTAATCAGGTTAGGTCGCTTACAATGGGGCCTTAACAATTTTATGGCTATAGCTTTTTGTCTACCTGAGATTGCCCACTTCCGCCTTAGAGCAGATGGTGGGGGTCACGTCGGGCAATGGCGCATGCGCGTGCTTGAAATGCAAGGGAAAAATGGATTGAATTTTTATGCTCGTGCTTGAACATGTTCTTTTTGATTTAAAAAAAATGGAATTAAAAGATGAGGGTTTAGATTCAATATTCATCGGTGGAAATGAAAGTGGGATGCTCGTGAACTTGAGAAAGAAATAATTCATCGTCAATTAAAGATTAAAGGACACCGCTAATTTTTTTGATTGTGAGAAATTTGCGCATTTTAATTTGGCATCGAGAGCAGGAAATATAAAAATAAAAAGTTTGAAAATGCATATTAAATCAGGTCTATTAACAACATGGGACTCTTTAAATAGGCTTGGCTTGTATCGCTATTTTGTATTGAAACAATCATATACCCGTTGTTCATTCATGCCCTTGTGGATAATTTTTATGCTATACTTTTTTTTCAGGTTAATTTAAAAGAAAAAAAAAGATGGCAAATTGTGAGAGGAATCATCAGCTATCTCCCTTGGCTTTCGCAAAATGTCCAAAATTGGGAAAAATTGCCGAATTGTCAACATTTTTGTAATTTTGAAAATTCTTCTGGAAAAATGTTGTAAAGAATCATTGAAAGTCATGTTCAGATGACCCAATATATCTTCAAACTTGAAGATTTAATGTTGCCAAGGTGCAAGCCTCATTACTGGCTACTTTGCGTGAATAAATTTATAAACTTTCGCCAGATAATAAAATTATTTGGTTTATCTATTATGGCTCTACTTGTTACAGAAATGTTTGAAAAAAAATTTTCAGTGTGAGTATTTAGGCGTGCCGAAAGCAGCTGAGAAATTCTTCTTCTCACATATATCCTATAAAGTTTTATGAATCTTCACTATAAAAAAAAGGAGTTCTTTGCTCGCGGAGCGTGCGCAAGGTGCCTTTATTTGACTTGCATTATAATAGTATAATAGTATAATAAACCTAAATCATCCATATATAGACTCCAGGAAGTTTCAAAATATAATCCCTATTAACTTCTATCTCACTAGTTACCAATTATCTCGATAATTGATTATTCAGATCCC